CAATCCAGCAGACTGCTAGCAGAACGTAGTGTTGCAGCTTCTTCCAAAATTGCACAAACCTTTGGTGGTTTTGGAAGACTTGGAGGGCCTCTCTGCTGATCTAATGAGATCCAAGGGCGATCTGAGGCATAGCAGGCAGGAAGGAGGGAGTGGAGAGCCTGGCCCTGGCCCTGTCCACAGCCTTCTGTCATAAGCCAAGTCCCGTGTGTGGATGTGTGCTCCTGACCTGCGTCTGGATGTGTGACAACGCCTTGTTTTCATGTTGACTTTTCACAGCTGGGAGCTGCACTGGCACCGAAAGTTTGTTTTAACTTCCCACACAGAGTCCAAAATGTAATTAATTGAGCCCTTATTTGAAGAAAAGATGTGTTTGGTGTATTTAGAGACCCCCAAAAGAGGTAAAAATAATATTTGCAAAACTGAACTAATTCAAATAGAACTATGTTTTCTAATGGAGGAGTGAAAAGAAGTAGGGATTTGGAGAGAGAACACCTAGCTTTGAGTTTCAGTTAACCACTTATTAAATATACGTCTTTGGGCAGATTGTTGTATCTCAGTTTTTCAGCCCATAAAGATGCTGGGAAGATTAAGTTAATGTTGATAGGAAAACTTCCTAGAAATCCCTTGAGTCTCAGGGAACACACACCATTCATTCATTTTGATATGCTTATTTCCATAGAATTTCACGAACAGTTAAAAAAGTCAGTTTAAAATTTAATATCTTTAAACACATTACAATGCAGAATACAATACTGTTTGCAATGTTCAATGCTATTATTTAAACAAATAGCTAAATAAAAACAGATTTAAATCCTTGTCATCTTAATCGTATGAAAGATCAAGCAATTGCAAAAAATGATTAACTTGTTTTGTTCTGATTTTTGGGCGTAGTTTCCCTTAATTACATATTTGTAGATACTGGTTCTTACTGTGCTTTCCTTTCATGCTGGAGAAAAGACTTATTTCTCTTTAGACACCACTTGTATGTGTTCCAGGTAATTAAATATTTAGATTAATGAAGAACTATTAGATATTTTTCTCAGAATTAGAACCAATAAAAATACACCTAATGAAACTATATATGACTATCAGAAAAACAGAAAATAAGTGTTGTGATCATGTGGAGAAATTGGAAACCTTGTGCACTGTTGGTGGAAATGTAAAATGGTGCAGCTGCTGTGGAAAACAGTATAGAGGTTTCTCAAAAAATAAAAAAAATAGGATTACCATATGATCCAACAATTCCACTTCTGGGTATATATCCAAAAGAATTGAAAGCAGGATCTCAAAGAAATAGTTGCACACTCATGTTCATTGCAGTATTATTCACAATAGCCAAAAGGTGGAAACAACTCAAATGTACATGAATGAATGAATGAATAAAAAAATGTAGTACATACAATGGAATATTATTTAGTCTTAAAACAGAAGGAAATCCTGTCACATACTGCACCATGTATGGACCAGAGGACATTATACTAAGTGAAATAAGCTAGTCACAAAAAGACAAATATTGTACGATTCCATTTTTATGAAGAATATAGAGTAGTCAGATTCATAGAAACAGAAAGTAAGATGGTGATTGTCAGAGTCTGGGGGAGAGGGAGAACTGGGGAATTGTTATTCAGTGGGTAGAGAATTTCAGTTTTGCAAGATGAAAAAGGTCTGGAGAGCTGTCACACAATAATGTGAATGTACTTAACACTATTGAACTGTAAACTTAAGCATGGTTAAGATGGTACATTTTATGCTGTTTTTTACCGCGATAAAAAAACTATATACAAATGCAGTTTAATTTGGGGGATGATTCAGAATACCTCTTTATTATCTTTTCAGGCCTGATGATAATTCATCTTCACATGGGGCCTCAGGATAAGCAGCTCAGATATTTGCTTCAGATTACAAGGCACAGAGGTGCAGGCGTCCTCAAACCCAGTGTTTGATTCAAGGGGATGGTGGTAGTGCCGCAGGGCAGAGAGTTTCTTATCAGTTTGTAAGGACTAAATCCAAGGCCATTTGTAGGGGTGGGGAACTGAATTTTGGTCCAGAACTCTTTCTCTGAAGCATGTGAGCTGGGGAAAGCATTCCAGAACCTCATGTTAGTAGATATCAGTCATCGATAAAGGAAATATTTGTTGATGAAATACACCAATGAAATGCACTGTTTAAATCAAATAAATCATGTTTGTTATTGCATATCAGAGTTTCCCTAACTGTGTTCCGTAAAACATTAGCTCTGTGGGTATTACATTTAAAAAAAGGGTTTTGGGGTCAAAAAGTTTGGAAGATATAGGGATAAAAAGAGTTAAAAATGTGATTTTTTACTCCATAACTTCTCAAAGGCTTTACTATGTTAACATTAATGTTACCATACCAATATTAACTATTAGATGTTAATATTTAACATTTGATAGGTTGACATTTATGTTAATGTATTCATTAATATCCATGTTAATATATTAACATGTTTTTCCATATCTCATATAACCAAGGAAGCAGTCCTCAGCACACCAGTGTGAGAATGCTGCCCTATATCATAAAAGTCATGATATTCTTGTCACCTGCTTTCCTTTAAGATAGTAGCTTTCTTTCATTTCTCCTGGGTTTGCTGTGAAGCCCATCTCCTTCACCATGAGCACCACTGGGGAAATATCCAGAGAGTAGGGTAGTTTCAGTTTTAGTATTCGTTGTTATGAGATACTGTAAAGCTATATGATGGATGCAGCTTTTTTGTAACTCCAGCTATTTTCCAAACAGAGCATTAATATTGGACAAACTTGCAAGGGTGTCAATAGAAAAGAGTGAGTCAAGACGAATACATATTGCAAGGTGAAAATGGTCAAAGTGTGTAGTTTCTTCAGTGGGATAACTTTTTTGTTTTATAAGAAAAAGCTAGCTACTGCATTAGGAAATTATAGTTGCCTTATTTTGAATTCTCATTCCAGAGATTTTAAATGTTACTGTTACTAAAATGATGATAGCTCAGAAATGGCCCATTTAACAACTAACTGATTAGTTAAAATTAAGCTTGATATGAATGGAGTAATCTCTAGAGGGAGTATATTTTAGAATATTAAAGAAAGAAACAACTACTACAAGTATCTGCCCACAAAATCCAAATCAACTGAGCAAGAAGAGAGTCAAAGCAGTTTCTTGATATTTTGAGAGTCCTTATATGTGTTACTTTTTCAGCTGAAAACTCAGGGGTGCTACAACTACACTCAATTAATATTCTTTGTTTTATTTGTAGTCAAAGCCAGGACACACCATCAGAGGGTGGGCAGGGAAGACTTGTGTGTAGAACTTTGATGGTGAGTCCCTGATACGTCATCTAGGTTAAGTCATTAGCATTAGAAGCATTTGATTTTGAACCTGAAAAGTGGAACCATGAATCTAAGTCATTACAAGAGACAGTGTGATTAGCAGAAAGAAGTATTGGTTGTGTATTTATTTATTTTTTTTTAGTGTATAGTTTTATCTTTACCAGAGCACTTGTTCTGAAATGCTCCTTCTGAAATTACCTTTTGCCCTACTCCTTTTATTTTTTAATTTAGCAGGTATTTATTGAGCACCTACTATCTGCCAAACATTGGGTGGTGCACCGAAGATATTTGTTTTGCTACCATATTTATGAAGTATATTTTTAAAAAATTAATTTGTTTTATTTATTATTTTTAATTTTTGGTTGCATTGGGTCTTTGTTGCTGTGCGTGAGCTTTGTCTAGTTGCAACGAGCAGGAGCTACTCTTCGTTGCGGTGTGCGGGCTTCTCATTGTCGTGGCTTCTCTTGTTGTGGAGCATGGGCTCTAGGAGCGCGGACTTCAGCAGTTGTGGCACTCGGGCTCACTAGTTGTAGCTCACGGGCTCTACAGTGCAGGCTCAGTAGTTGTGACACACGGGCTTAGTTGCTCCGTGGCATGTGGGATCTTCCCGGACCAGGGCTCAAACCCGTGTCCCCTGCATTGGCAGGCGGGATCTTAACCACTGTGCCACCAGGGAAGCCCTAAGAAGCATATTTTTATTTGCACTAAGAAAAATTAAGACAGGTTAGTCCCTATGATGCACAAAAATGAAAACAAATACATTAAGATACCAGTTTAAACATTAACAACCTATATATCAAAATTTTGGTATGATTGCTTTTTGAGAAAGTGGTTTTCAAATTCCTTTTAAGATTTGCTTTGTCTAGGAAATGAACATATATCACAGCGGAGGAAAACTGGGTGGTTAAACATATGAAACCATGTTCAATTTTACCAGAAGTCAGAGCGAAACAAATCACTCTTCAGATTAAAAAAATTGGAAAGTATCAACCATTGGCAAAGATGTGGACAAGTAGCATGGCTCATTCCCTCAGTGGAAATCTAAATTAATATACTCCCTATGTAGTACACATTGATAATACCTATAAAATTTTAATTGTTTATACCCTTCAACCCAGCAATTACACTTCTAGTTATACATTATAGAGAATTTGTCTCATGCGTGAAGTGGGAGACAGGTATAAGAATCTCTTGTTTGTTGAAACATTGTAATAATAAAAAGTAGAAACATTTTCAATGACCATCCTCAAGGAAACTTGAAACTTAAATTTAAAATGGTATAGTGGGGGTGCCCTAGTGGCACAATGGTTGAGAGTCCGCCTCCGATGCAGGGGATGTGGGTTCGTGCCCCGGTCCGGGAAGATCCCACATGCCGCGGAGCGGCTGGGCCCGTGAGCCATGGCCGCTGAGCCTGCGCGTCCAGAGCCTGTCTGCGCTCCGCAACGGGAGAGGCCACAACAGTGAGAGACCCGCGTATCGAAAAAAGAAAAAATAAATAAATAAAATGGTATAGTGTGACAGTCCTCGCGGAGAGTCGCCGCGGTTTCTTGCTTCAACAGTGCTTGGACGGAACCTGGCACTCGTCCCCTGCTCCGGCCGGCCGCTCAGAGCCAGCCCTCGCCACCGCCTCACGGCGCCCTCCGACCGCCCCAAGGTCCCCGCCGCCATTACAGCGCCGAGCAGCCACCGCCACCGTTTCACCTCAGCCGCCCGCCATGACGACCGCGTCCCCCTCGCAGGTGCGCCAGAACTACCACCGATCAACCTGGAGCTCTACGCCTCCTTCGTCTACCTGTCCATGTCGTACTATTTCGAACGCGATGATGTGGCTTTGAAGAACTTTGCCAAATACTTTCTTCACCAATCTTGTGAGGAGAGGGAACATGCTGAGAAACTGATGAAGCTGCAGAACCAACGGGGTGGCCGAATCTTCCTTCAGGATATCAAGAAACCAGACCGTGATGACTGGGAGAATGGGCTGAATGCAATGGAATGTGCGCTACACTTGGAAAAAAGTGTGAATCAGTCACTCCTGGAACTGCACAAACTGGCCACTGAGAAAAATGACCCCCATTTGTGTGACTTCATTGAGACTCATTATCTGAATGAGCAGGTGAAATCCATTAAAGAATTGGGTGACCATGTAACCAACTTGTGCACGATGGGGCCCCCGAATCTGGCATGGCACAGTATCTTTTTGACAAGCACACCCTGGGAAATAGTGATAATGAGAGCTAAGCCTTAGGCTGGCTTCCCGTAGCCACAGGGGTGACTTCCCTGGTCACCAAGGCAGTGCATGCATATTTGGGTTACCTTACCTTTTCTGTAAGTTGTACCAAAATATCTACAAGTCCTTTCCTTAGTACCATTCCTTCAAATAAAGTAATTTGGTACCCCCCCCAAAAATGGTATAGTGATACTGTGGAATATTATCTATCAGCTAAGAGAAATACCACAAAGATGGATTTAAAAATCATAAAGTTGAATAAAAAGGGCAAGTTGTAGATTATGTTCTAGTTATGTAACATTTTTAAATGGACAAATACATTCATATTATAAAGAATTGATTTATTTCTATATGTATGCATATATATGTATATGAATATACAATACAAACACACATATGTATATGTAATAGTATAACAAAACACACTGGAAGGATACACCTAAATTCATAAAAGTGGTTTCCTCTGAAGACACTGGCAGGGTAGTCGGTTTGGACTGGAGTTGAGGGGAATGGTCAAGGGGACTTGAATTTTATCTGTAATGTTTTACTTCTTGTATAGAAAGACAAAGAATTTGCCAAAATGTTAACAATGTTCAGTTCTGGGTGTTGACACATGGGTGTTTATGAAATTCTTTTTGTTTTTCTATATTTTGAAATTTTCTTATAAACAAGACCTTTCTTTTCCTGGAAATCAATCTTCTACTTTGTGCCTAGGTTTGATAAGTTGTGCACATTTCACACAATAGTAATGAAGGGGTCTTGGAACAAAGCGTGTGTAATTCTCTGCATAGCTGCCTGGCACATTTTCACCAAGCCAGCCTAAAAATATCTGAAAAGTGAAAGTATGATTGGGTAGAGGGCCCCTCAGCTGACCTTCAGGACTTTTGGTTTGTCCGTCAGTTAATCTTGTCACGATCACATAATTATGAGGTTGGTTTGAGCTTGATGAACCAATATATACAAGGAAAATACGCTGTAACCCGAACTGTGCCACGTCAAAGCCCTTGGGACACGAAGATTTTCTGGTGTTTCTACGTGAGGTTTTCCTCAAGGTAACAAGGCCTTTAAAAATAACTTGCTTTTCAGGCATATCACCCTTTCCAAAGAATATGCCTCTTCTGCAAGCCGAGTTGTATATTCCCCAAAATATGCTGATGCTGCATGTCCATCACATAAATACCCAAATGTCACACCATACCCCAGCAGGTTACAGTTGGGCAGTACAATACCTTTAAAAGCAGTGGGGCTGCAGAATTCTATAGAAAAGACCATTATATCCTCCTCTGAAAGAGAATCTCATAAGCTGAAATACCAGTTAATAAAAAATACAGGACAGAGAAAACTAACAAGGCAAGGATACAAGTGCACTCAAGTGATACTCAAAATTCCAGCTGAGTTGAACTTAGAGTTATTTAAGAAAAGTCAAATATCTGAAGAACTAGTTTGGGAGCCTCAGTGTGTCTTTTTTTTTTTTTTTTTTTAAGGTACATACCACTTAGCTCTCTGGAAAAAAAAAGTTGAAAGGGGCTTCTAACCAACAGAATGAAATCTGAGACTGAAATCTCAGGTCACATGCAAAGTTAAAACTCAACATTCCCAGTAAAGGTTTCTTCCTTCTAAACTTTGTATTTTGAAAAATTTCAGGCCTTGAGAAAAGTTGAAAGAATACTTAGTGAAATTCTGAAGGTATTTGGCACAATGAAAGACTGGAAAATAATTTACATGAGGAAAAAAATCTATAAAATTTACTAATTCCTATGTTTATTTTTACAAATGTGCACAAACTCTACAAATGTATATGCTTTGCTTATGCATTTAAATTTAGTAAAATTACATTTAAGGAAAAGCAGGAGGAAATTTGGCAAAAAGAGAAGAAACAAGAGTAAGGAACAAAAAGCCATATAGAACGCACAAAACCCTGTGATGCTTCGGATTTTTAAACAGGGCCTGAACAATTGGTTTGCTTGATTTTTAAAACAGAGTTGAAGTTGTTTTAATATTCTATAGAGAAAACTGAAGGGGATCCTAGTGGGACTGTGTAGTGTCAGAGACCAGAGGCAAAGAAGGAAGTACGTTGTCCTTTCTCAAAGGGAAAAGTGAGTGGGAAGGGAGGAGGCTGTTTAAGTTAATGAATGCTTCCTTCCTTTCTCTCTCACTTCGGGAGTAGCCAGAGACAAAAGACCTGCTTCCTTCTCCTTTAGTATCTGTGCCTTTAGCATTTAAAGATGGCCAGCATTTTCCAGCAATGTTAATAGTAGTGTGGATATGATTTTTTCTATCAACATAGTATAAAATAAGAGTGATATGCAAAGGCATTACATTACACATTATTTCTACTCTTAGTGGCTCCTGGCTCTTTCTCTCCTTTCTCTCAAGCTAACTTGAGTCAGCAGCCTTATTTGCTCCAGCCCAGGGACTTGGTTTATCTACTCTTTGTTAACGGGTCTGGCTGAGATCAGGAAGCCCCTTTCTCATGCTAAACCTGTGGCTTCCAGGTCAAGCTTCATTCACGCTGTTTATACCACATAGTTGCTTCCTGCCTGGGCAAATTGGTTCCAGTTCTTCCAGGTCAGATGTATTCTGCTGTCTCCTGAGTCTTGGCTTGCGTTAACACCCAAAGCCCTTGTGTCAGTGTCTTGTTGAGCCTCTAGAGGGGCATCTATCACAATGGTTGTTGCAAAACTTCACTATTCTCTAACTGTGGGTATCTATCTGTGGAATGAAGCCGTCCATAAATTCAATAATTTTTATTGGATACTTGTTAGAGGCAAGGAGCATTGTACTCTGCTGGGAGCTGGGAATACAATGTTGGTTAAGATAGCCATGGTTTCTGCTCTCATGGTTCTTATCGTCTAATGTGAACTTACACAGATGGCCTGCTCCAAGGAGGGGCCAGCTTTTTATTCACTAACATGAACTGTACACAGAAAATACTGAATAAGTACATGTGTGTATGTTAGTGGGTGGGAAGCAAGATTAGAAGTAGGGAGGCTAGAGCTATCACAATTGTACAGGTGAAAAAATTGTATAGGTTAGATAGTATTTTGACTGCAATGGAAATAGTGAGAAGTGATAATTTGAAGGTAGAGCAAACAGGCCTGGGTTTGTTATGGGGTGTGAGAGACATAGAGGCAGCAGTGAAGACCCATTTGTTTTTGACCTGAGTCACTGAATGAATGGTTGAGCTATTTACTGAGATGAGGAGATGGAAGATGTGTTCATGGGCATCAGGAGTTTAGTTTTTGTCATGTAACATTTGATTTTCCTACTGAACACATTGAGTAAAGATGTTGAGATGTCAACTAAATACACGAGTTTGGAATTCATGGGAGAGGTCCAGTCTGGAGATAAAATTTTGAGAATTATCAATGTGTGGATACACTTAAAGAGATGGGTCTGGATAATAACACCTTGAGAGAGAGAGTCTTAATAGAGAAGAGGATCAAATGTACTGCCCTGGGACAGTCCAACATTTAGATCCTGGGAGAAGGAAGAAGAGCCAGCATCGGTAACTTAGAAGGTCCAGCCAGGAGGTAGGAGAGAAACCACTAGTGCTCTGTATCCCTGTAGGCAAAGGAAATGTCTCAAGGAGGAGAGAGTGAGTACCTGGGTCATAAGCTATTGAGTGGTTAAGTAAGATGAAAACTGAGAATTGGCTACTGGTTTGGCCACAAGGTGACCTTGACAAGTGTGGTCTGATTGGATCTGGTCGAGGAGAAAACGATGGGTGAAGAATCATGGGCACCAAATGTAAATATCCCTTTTGGAGTTTTATTACAAAGGGAGTAGAGAACTGGGAGTGAGATGGGTATGCGGGGGTCAAGTAAAATTTTCTAAAATGGGAAACATTACAGTATGTTTGTAAGTTGATGGGAATGATTAGAGAGAGAGAGAGAGAGGTCTGAGGATGCAGGCGAAAAAGGAATTACTACGGTATGAAAGTCCTTGAGTAGCTGAAGAAATGGAATCCAGTGCACAGGTGGAGGGAGAAGGGCCAACAAGAGAGAAACCAGAGCAGAGAAGAATAGACACAGATAAATTTGCAGATGTGGTGGTGGGAAGATGAGGATATTTCTTCAGAGGGCTTTGATATTCTTAGTATCAATAAAACAAGAAATAAGAAGCAGGGTCAGCAGTTGAATTCAGGTAAAGGGTCGAAGGTATTGAAGATTTGAGGAAAGAGGAGGAGAAGTAACATAAACCTCTTGGAGAATAAGAGAGTGAGCTGATAAGGAAAATATAGTAGGATTGCTGAGCAGTGCTAAGAACCCATTGAGGCTTGTGGTCATAAATTTAAGTGAGACCAATCGTGGTTGCAGATGGTAAAAAAAGTAGTAGGGACAATGGATTAGAGGTCCTGGTGGGGTCAAATCATTGTTGGAATCAAGATACTGGAGGCAATGAGTTGGAACAATAGAGATTGATGGTCAGAGAGGGATGCTTGAAATTGAGATCTGGGAGGCGGAGCATTTATTTCTGATGAAAACGACCTGGACATGATCATGTTTCTAGGCGACTGAAGTGCGATGGAAGAACAGGTTGCTGGAGGGGAGAAAGCCAAGGAACTGAGAGGCCAGAGCTTTCCAGAGGTGGAATATACAAGGGATCTTATTGGTAATTTGTCATAAGTTCTAGAGGGCAACTGGAAGGGTTTGGAAGGTTGAGAAAGGGAGAAGGATTGAACAGGTTAGGGAACATTCAGAGCCATATGGTGATAAGAATCCAGGTGATGAGCAATGACTAAGAAGGCTTGGATTTCTTATGGAGACTGAAGGAAACAGGTTTGAGAGGTCCTCATAGTCTCGTCAGGGAAGATGAATAGGCTGTTCTCATTCTATTACTCTAGCTTCTTTCTTGGGACCAGTCTCTCAGGTGCTCCTTGCATTATAGCCTTTGCCATTGTTCAGAATGTTCTTTCCATCTTCTGCATCTGCTGAATCCTCAGCTCCCTTCTTATCCTGCTCCGATCATCCCAGACCAAGGATCATCTCAGTTCTTCTAGCACTTACAGTCACATTTGATACTTAACATATAATACTATTCTGTTCCTCCTGGAAAAGTGGTACAGATGAAACGGTTTGCAGGGCAGAAATAGAGACACAGATGTAGAGAACAAACGTATGGACACCAACGGGGGAAAGTGGTGGGGGGGTATGGTGGTGTGATGAA